ATCACTGGAGGCTTTTAAGAAAAGACTGGGCAGCCCGTTGCCTGAGATTATGGGTTGGTCCCTTCCGACTCCTTATTTATTTATTTATTATTTCCTTGGTCCAGTGAGTTGCTCCTATTAGAGCTGAGAGCAAGTGACTGGCTCAGGGTCCTTCAGCTGGGTTTGTGTCTAAGGCAGAACTAGAACTCTCCTCTCCTGGTTTCCGGCCTCCCTACAGGCTGTAATTTATAATCCATGATTCCGTTTTCCCCCCCATGCAGAACTTTGCAGCCAAGCTGTTTGCAGCAACGAATGAATACTCTGCTCAAAATGATAAAAAAGGGGAGAAGGGACTCTCCAGGCATAGGTAGTCCTCAACTTACAACCGTTCTGTTTAGTGACCAGTTATCACAGCGCTGGGAAGAAATTTATGTCAGGTCCTTGCATTTACAACCATTGCCACATCTCGTGTGATCAAAATTCAAGCAACTGGTATGTAACCCACACCATGGGGTTCGCCATTTGCAACCTTCCCAGCTGGTGAAGTTTTTTTGGGGGGGAGGGAAGGAAGCCCAATTCGCTTAGTGACCCCTTGATTCACTTAGCAACTGCAGTGATTCACAACCCTAACAAAGAAAGGTTGTAAAATTGGGTGGGACTCACTGAACAACCTCGTTTAGCAAACAGAAATTCTGGTTCCCCGTTGCGGCCTTAAGGATGACCCTGTATTTAAAAAAAAAAAATCTTTATTTTGCATTTTTCACTGTCTTTTTTGAGACTTAAAAGCTTGTAATTGCACCAAAAAAAATTGCTTTAATAAGATTTTCCCCTCGTGTTTATGGTCTGGTTTAGTTAAACTATTAACTGCTTTCGAAAGCCAGTGGAACATGATATATCAAGGAAATATTCTATTATTTTTTTAAATCTGGGGTGTCCAACCTTAACAATTTTAAGACTTGTGGACTTCAACTCCCAGAATTCCCCAGCCAGATGGACAGGGAATTCTAGGAGTCAAAGTCCACACCTTTAAGGCTGCCAAGGTTAGACACCCAGGTCTAAATCAATGTTTTTCAAACATAAGCCACTGTTTAAGATGAGTGGACTCCATTTCCCAGAATCCTTCCATAAACATGGAATCAAGGCTACGTGTGCCATTCTACACAAATCTAATTCAATTAAGATGGTTAATAGCTTCTCTAGGAACTGATGGTGGGCTGGTGACACCAAGAAATATTTATAGCCTTTTAAAATGCAGTTTAGAGTTTCAATTAGAGTTGGCATACTTGCTGTTTGGATCCCAGATTCTGGGGGGGGAAATGGTTTTTACACACTGCAGATCCTAGTTATTTGAAATAGATGAGCAAAAATGCCCTTAATCCGGATTCTTCTTTGCAATTTCACAGCTGCAATCTGCGTAGCCTTGGTGACAATCCAGAGGTACATCACCACTGCTTCCCAGGTGTTAAAACATCTTCTGGAATTCCTGTGACTTCTGAACTAGGTTTAATCCTAAGTAACAGATTCTGCCTTTCTGCTGAGGTGGACAGAAAGTCAGAAATAAACAGGATTACTGAGAAAGAACATTTGTAGCTCAGGGTTGAAATGAGAGCTCCTTGGTACTCTCTGGTCTTGGTTTTCTTGCAGACATTTCATGACCCAACTAGGTAACATCATCAGTGCTCATTGTAATGACATGATCAGTTTGAACAAAAACATATGCAACAAAACCACCAAGCTCAGAGAGCAACAAGGACCCCCTCATATACAGGATCCAGGCATAAATAAAAAATTAGAAAACCGATTAAACTTTTAACATCCAATGGTTTAAACTTTTGATTGTCTTATAGTTATTTATGACATCAGAAGCAGCACAGAATTGCTTGAAGAAGATGAGAGGCATGTAATTTAACAAATCACAACTACCTGCATCCACACAACACACAACAGCAAAAATCAGACCAACCACATGACAGTTTAGCATAGCAGTTTCCCTGGGACCCTCCATGTTTGTATGTCATGCGGAGCGGTTGTTTCTTCCCTCCCAAAAGCCTGCCAGTCATTTTCCCCCCCCCCCAGATTTTGAAGGTGTTGCATATATTTTATCTGTGCATTGTCTTATAATTCTCCTTCAAACTTTTGCTGAAAACAGAAGCCCGTGCTAGGAATGCAAACATCAGCCCGAGTGTACCGACAATATCTTATTTTGATTTTTCCATCCGTCTCTTGGACTATCAAGATCCTTTCAGATTCTTTTTCTCTTTTCCTGAATATCCCATTTTTGGCATATCCCAATTCATTCTCCTTCTGCCAAAAATCCTCAAAAAAAAATTGCTATGCCACTACAGGGAGTCCTCCACTTACAAGAGTTCGTTTAGTGACCTTTCAAAGTTACAATGGCACTGAAAAATGCCATTTTTCACACTTATGGCCGTTTTTCAGAGTTACATTCCCATGGTCATGCGATCAAAATTCAGATGCTTGACAACTTTTGCAACCTTCTGACAAGGAAAGTCAATGGGGAAGTGACTAATTTATCAACTGCAGCGATTCACTTAACAACTGTGGCAAGGAAGGTCGTAAAATGGGTAAATCTCACTTAACAAATGAATTTTTGGGCTCAATTGTGGTGATAACCCAAGGACTACCTGTATTTAAATAGAGAAATTAAAGGGTCAGTGAATTATTAAATTTAATAATAGCATAGTGGAGGTGTTATTAACAGATCCCAATTCCACCCACATGTCCTTAAGATTTTAATGTTTAGTTCCAATTTATGTTTTAAGGTCCATGTACATTTTTATGACTATAAGCTTCCCAAAGTTACCCTATGGTAAGATGGGGAGCTAATAAATTTTATTAATAAATATTTGCCCGCAAATCTCACCATGGGGCTACTTTAGGCAGCTCCCATCTTAAAAAAATAAAGAGGAAGTTTAAACAAAAGCAAAATAATAGAAAACAAACAAAGAAGGTTGGTATGTCTAGTTTTAAAAATGGTTATTTGTAGACAAAGACGCACACACAGATAACTTCTGGCAATTTATTTGCTCCCCTTTCCAGCTTTTTTAAAAAAATAAATTCATTTATTGATATTCTAACCCTGTAAAATAAACCTAAAAATAAAGACATCAGGGAAAGAAAGAGGAAGAAGCGAGGAGGAAAGAGGAAAAACGACATGCATTGGCTTCCCACTTTTTTCAGGGCTGTAAAAATACAAAATATATCTTTTAAATTTCTCCCTCCACCATTTTTTCATCATTATTAGGATTAGAATCCTGTAAAAAAAAGACAAAGGAAGATAAAAGATCGCCAGGAAAGGGAAAGAAAGCAGGAACAAAAGGGGGTGTGGGGGGAAGCAAGCATTGGTTACAAAATACAAAAATACAATGTATATATTTTGCTTTTCTCCTCATCCAGATTTTATTGCGTTGGGGTTGAAAACAAGCCTAAAAAGCAGCCCCGTAAGAGCCCTATGGTGGAAAGCCTGGCCCATAGAATGGGGGCACCCCCTTTTTTTACCTAGGCACCCCTCAATCTGGCACTCCAGGCCCCTCTCTGCCCCCTTTAATCTCCCCCTCCCCACACATTGAGCCCCTCAGTCTCCCTTCCTGCCCCCCAACCCCTTATTAACCCCCCTCCGTTTCTCCATTTCCCCCAAATTTGTTCTCCCTCACACCTCGTGCCCGCAGCAGCCCCACAGATCGCTTCCCCTCCCCCCGAGCCCCATATTTGAAGGTCCCTCATAATTTACGTCCTCCCTGCCCCCTCAAACCCACTCCCCTCAGGCTTTCCTCAGACAGAACCCTTTAATTTTCACCTCAGGACGGAGTTCCCTCACCCTTCCTATCAGAAGCCCACTCACCCCTCCATAGCAGCAACGCCCTGACTCCCCCCCCAGTCGCCCCTTCGCAAATAAATCGTCCCCCTTACAACCTCCTCTGGTAGGTTAATTCACCCGTTCCGGCCTCCCCGTAATTCCGCTAAATTTTAGCCCTCCGTACCCCCAAAGACGCTCTCGGGAGCCTTTCCGCCAAGGCCCGAGTCAGTTGTGGAAGTAGGCCCCGAAGCAGCGCGCTTTCCGAAGCGGAGTGGCCGGGCGAGCGAGCGCCTCTCCGTGGCCAAGAGAATCACGCGAGCGCGAGGCCTTGCAGGCCGCTGCTCGGAGCGTTCCATCCGCCTCGACTTCGCGCTCGACAAAAGCTGGCTCTGTGAGGCAACCGACTCTCCACCCTCGGGGCCACTTCGGCCCTTTTCGGAAAAGTTCGGCATGGGGGGGACACACCCCCTGCTCTCAAGGAGCGGCTTTGTTTCCCCGCCTTTCGCAATCATGAATAGTCAACGAGGTGCCTCGGAAATCTTCGGGAAAGGAGCCTTCTTCCGTAAGGACTGTACCATTAGCAAAAGGGGGGGAGCAGAATAATTAAAGAAATTGTCCTTATGACAAGGTATGAATAAGGTTTTTGAATCGTTATTTCTAACTTTGCAAAAAAATATATGCTTCCATTGCATTACTGAAAATAGTTTATTTGAAAACCCCCAAATAATTCTAGCAAGCACGCCAAATAACATTTTATCCGAGCTTTTCAAATAACCTAATTACTTTCCTAGTCCAAGTGGCCTTATGCACATTTCGGATCTCTGCTCAATAGGCGTTTACAAAAAAATCAAAATTAAACAGCATGACTGAGCTGAAAGTTACGCAAACCGAGAAGGATCCAGTTGGATCGCCCCAAAAATAAAATTGCACGAAAGTCTAAATTATATTTCTATCATTAATGTACATTTCCTTCTCTTCCCGCCCCCTTACATTTGGTTCGATCTTTCCTCCTTCCCCGGCGCCACCTCTCCTTCTTGTTTTCCCTCGGGTCCTAGCCACGCCCCCTCTCGTTCGGAGACGACGCAGACGCAGCCCCGCCCCTTTCGGCGTCCTCGCCCTTGCCGTTGTACTCCTGTAGCCCCGTGTTGGGAGGAGCGAAGCTATATAAAGGCGGCGACGGCGCCACTTCGCTCAGTCGCGCCGGAGAGCGCGGAGGGAGAGGACGGGAGGGAGGGAAGAAGCGGCTGGACGTGGTCGCGTGGCGGGGCAAATTGGTATTTCGGCGCGTCGATTCTCTTTTCCCGACGGCGTGGCGAGAAGCCGGACGCTTCCCCGGGGGACAGAGCTCGGGACGGCGGCGTAAAACAAAAACAAACAAACCCGGAGTGTTGGGGGAAGGGCCGGCGGCGGCTGCTGTGGCTTCTTCCGGGCTGGTGACGGACTAAGGCGGAGGCAGAGCAGCAGCAGCAGCAGCAGCGGCGTCATCACGTGACTTTGGGAAAAGAGAAAAAAAAAAAAGCGGCGGCGGACGAGAGGGGAAAAAAAAGGGGCCGCCAAGATGCACGGGGGCGCGCCCTCCGGGGACAGCGCGTGCCCGCTGCGCACCATCAAGCGCGTGCAATTCGGCATCCTCAGCCCGGATGAGATGGTGGGTGGCCCAACGTTTGGGGTGGCGGTGGGTGGTGTGGGTTTGGGGGTATCCAAAGTTTCCTTTTCCATCGGAATTTGGGGAGTGGGGAGAAGGGGGGTCTTGGGCTGCTTAGGGTGGTTTCTGTGACCCCCCCCAATCAGACTGTCCTAAGCAGCCCCTCCCCCTCTTTCTTTGGGGGGTGGCGCACAGCTTGCAAGTTTATCAGTGCTAATTTGCAAGAAAAGATGAGGGGGGAAGGGTCTTCAGTTAACTTAGGGGGGGGATTCTCCAACACCACCCCTTTGTCAAGCGCCCCATCTTTCTGGGGGTTTTGCAAGTGCCAAATGCCTTTTTGCAACCCGCTCCTCCTTGGGGCAATTTGCAAGTTTTTTTTGCAACAAGTGTCAGTGCTTCTTTGCAAAGAAAAACGGGGAGGAAGGGTCTTCAGTTAACTTAGAGGGTTCTTTGACCCCCACCACTTTTTCAGGTGCCCCCTTCTTTCTGGGGGCTTTGCAAGTTTTTGCAAGTGCCAAATGCTTCTTTGCAAGCGTCCCCCCCAAAAAACTTGCAAACTGAGGCAGTTTGCAAGTTTTTTGCAACAAGTGGCAGTGCTTTTTTGCAAAGAAAAACATGGGGTGAATGGTCTTCAGTTAATTAGGGGTTATTGGACCCCACTTTCTCAAGTGCCTCCTCTTTTTTTGGGAGGGGGGGGGCTTTGCAAGTTTTTGCAAGTACCCAGTGCCTCTCTGCAAAAGAAAGAGAAAGTAATGGTTTTTTTAAAAAAAACAACTGCTTTGCATCGTAATTTGAGGAGGGGGGGGTGTCTTGGATTTTTTAGGGGTTTTTGATGACTCCAACAACTCTCCCGAGCAGCCCCCTGCCCTTTTTTCGGGAGGTCTTTGCAAGGTTTTTTTTTGGTAAGTGTAAATCCTTCTTTGCAAAAAACAAAAATGCATTTTGGAGGGGGGAATCTTGAGTTACTTAGAAGGGGGGCTGTGACCACCCCATTCTCCCAAATGCCCCCCTCCTCTCACTTTTGGGAAGATTGCAGTTTTTCCAAGTGCAAATGGCTCTTTCCAGACAAAGTATCTGGTGTCAGTGGCCTTCCTTTGAGAAATGGTTTCACTCTGGATTGGGGTCTCTCTCGCTCTCTCCCCCCAATCCCCATTTCTTTTAATCCTGATTTTTAAAAGAGTGGGGCTTGATAAAGATCAGGGCCAAAGGTGATCCTTGCCTAATTCTGCCATTTAAAGATTTCTGCCACCAACTTCAATTGTGTCTTCCAATTGTGTGTTATTCCAAAATATCAAAATTATTTTATATGCCGTTTGTCTCACTATCCAGAGTAATTGGGCGGGCAAGTTGGCAGCCTTGGCAATCTTCAAAGAGTTTGCTTGCTTGGAACTTCAGATTGGTTTACTTAATTTTTATTCTTCCTCTATTACTTTATAAGTCACTCAAAGCAGGGATTATTCCTAATCCTTTTCCCCACAACAACCCTGTGAGGTAGTCTGGGTTGAGAGAGAGGGGTGGGGGAACTGGCCCATAGTTACTCAGCAGCTACAAAGTTGTTTTATTATGGAATCCCCTTTGTTTTGTATAGTTCTGTATTTACTTTTTTTGTTACATTGTAAGTGCCCAAAGTCACTGCAACAGTGAGATGGGCAACATATAAGTTTAACAAATAAAATTCAGTCTACCAACTTTTTTTATTCCACAGTACTGCTTCCTGGGCTTTGTTTTGTTCAATCCTTAAGTCTTTTTGGTCCAAAATTCTGCCAAATCAGATTTCAAGTTCCCCTTCTCTTTTTTTTTTTCCAAAAAGCCCCATCCTGTGTGTGGGGTAGCTGAGATTGTCAAATATATCTGCCAATGATGTGGATCAATTGTTTTTCCCTCTGCAGTTAGCAAAATATCTTGTTAAACCAGAGTTGTGACAATTTGTATCATCTTGTTAAACGTGGGTTGTGACAATTTGAAAATTATTGAGGCTCCCTAGTAATCCCTTTGACAAGTAAATCTGGTTTAAAAGAGATGAGTAATCAGGTTTTATTTAACTATATTTTATTTTATTTATAAGCTACCTTTTTATTTCTATATAAATAAAGATATGGCAACTATATCCAACACATTTCCCTCCCATTTTCCCCACAACAACACTGGGAAGTGGATTGGGATGAGAGAGAGGGACTGGCTCAAGGCCAACCAGGTGGCTTTCATGGCTAAGGTGGAACTCTCCATCACCTGGTGATTGGCCCAAAGTCACCCAGCTGGCTTTCATGCCTAAAGTGGGATTATAAGTCTCCATCACCTGGTGATTGACCTAAAGTTACCCAGGTAGCTTTCATGCCTAAGGCAGGACTTGAAAACTCTTAAAAAAAAATTTTTTTTTTAAATATAAACATTCCATCTTCCATTAAACAGTGTGTCTAGTTACAAATATCTCTGTGCAGTAGCAATCAAAAGTTACCACAGTGCACATTGGTATTAATTTTCTAATCTTACAATAATATATATAACAAACCTATTCATTTCTTCCTCTTAACATGTCTTCTAATAATATCATAGTAAACCTAATCGTATCAATAACAGTCATAGCGTATACATATCTGTTGTGACATACTTTCTATATTTCACTGCTTTTATTTCTAGCTTCCAATTTTCTAATTGATAAAATAATTCCCATGTCATCTAATATTCAGTTTGTTCTTCTTAATTGCAAGGGTTAAATCTATTCATTTCTGCACATTCTAATATTTTCCTAATCACATTCTCATCCGTAGGAATATCTTCACTTTTCCAATTTTGTGCAAATACAATTCTAGGACTAGAAAACTCTTTTATCGCCTAATGGCGATTGTCCCAAAGTCATCCAGCTTTACTGGCTTTGATACCTGAGGCAGGACTGGAACTCCCAGTCTCCCAGTTTTTTGCCTGCTTCCTTAACCACTAGGCCGGCCTACATTCTGCCTTTTCACTTGTAGTCTTTTCTCCCCCCAAGTATTAATTTCCTCTCTGGCTCGTTGGAGTTGCCACTACTTTGTGGCACGTTCACATTTTTTTAACCAGAGGCCCATCCTTCCCAGCACCCGGCACTCACCCGCTTCTTTGCTTGCAATTTCTAGAAACGGATGTCGGTGACCGAAACGGGCATCAAGTACCCAGAGACCACGGAAGGTGGTCGCCCCAAACTCGGAGGGCTGATGGATCCTCGCCAGGGGGTCATCGAAAGGACCGGGCGGTGCCAGACGTGCGCAGGTGAGGACCCCGGCCGTGCCCCCATCTGGGTGGTGGGCCAATATGTCCGGGGACATCACCGCCTCCTGTTTGAGAGCGGTGGGGTGGCCTGGAGTTGGAGCTCTCTCCTCACAATCAGGAGGCTGTGGGTTCGATCCTAGGTGGGAGGCAGATATTTTTCTCTCTCTGGGCGCGATGAGAATGTATCCGCCGAACAAAACTCCGCGTTGGCAACGGGAAGGGCATCCGGCCAGTAAACACCCTGCTAGCTCTAGTGGCCCAGACTCCACCCTGCAAGGGATTATGGGGTTGTTCAAAGATGATTTATGATCACTGCCTCCTGTTTCTCTCCGCAGGCAACATGACCGAATGTCCCGGCCATTTTGGCCACATCGAATTGGCCAAGCCGGTCTTCCATGTCGGCTTTTTAGGAAAAACCATGAAAGTCCTTCGGTGCGTTTGTTTCTTTTGCTCCAAACTGCTGGTCGACTCGGTGAGTAACGAGGCACCTCCGCTTCCCCAACATGGCAGCTGAACCCCGAGAGAAAAGGTCGAAGTCGGGATTTTTAGCCCTTACGACCACAGCTCAGCCCGTGGCTAAGCGAGACATTGATTGAAGTGAGATTTAAGCCCCATTTTATGACCTCGCTTGCCACTGTTGTTAAATGAATCCCTGCAGTTCAGTTACTCACACGGTTGTTAAGGGCTTCCCCGGGGACTCTGCTTCTCGGGAGGTTGCAAAAGGGGATCATGTGATCCCCCCAGGGATGCTATGACCGTCATAAATGCGAGTCAATTGCCATGGTTGCACGTGTGGAAAAACTGCCCTAACGTTATTTTTGTAAGCTGCTGTTGTAACTTTGATCGCTAAACGAACTGTTGTGAGTCAAGGACCCCCCTGTATTTTATTTATTGTCTTTTCAGTTTGGTATATTTAGTCATCTTTTTAAGATTGTAGATTTAAGATTGTAAGTCAGAGTATCAGAGTTACCTTCTTATAAGAAGGGCGACCAATAAATTTTAAAAATACCATGTTTTCCCGAAAATAAGACCCTGTCTTAAATTTTTTTTTAACCACCCAAAAAAGCACCAGGCCTTATTTTCGGGGAATGTCCTCCGCCAATCTCACTTGCGCACATAGCCTTCAGCCTCCTTTTGGCTGCCCGAGGCCTTCAGGAACTTCTGCGGCTGGCAAGGTTTTCCTGAAGGCCTTGGCAGACAATAATAGCTGATAACTTCGGATCAATCCAGAGTCATCAGCTCCAGAGGCCTTCAGGCAAAGCCTTTGCAAGCCTTGCTGGCTGCAGAAGAAACGGTCCGGCAAGGCAGGTGTTGAGGGGTGCGAGGCCTGGCTACACCTGTCCAAAGGTAAGAAGTAGGGCAGCTCCACCCATTCCCACCCTAGCTTAATTTGTACCCGTCCACTCTGGAGTAGGTGGGATCTTAATTAGGGCTTATTTTGGGGGTAAGGCTTACATTGGGTGCACGTGTAAAAAAAAAACAAACCAAGCTAGGACTTACTTTCAGGGTAGGTCGTATTTTCGGGGAAACGGTAAATAAAGGCGAAGACTACTGGCATTCCATGCCCTTCCTTGTCCTGTCTTGTGAAGCCGCGGGCGTCATTTCCTGTATGTTTTCCCTTCTCCTCCTGGCAGAACAATCCGAAAATCAAGGATATCTTGACTAAATCCAAAGGCCAGCCGAAGAAGCGGTTGACCCACGTCTACGATCTCTGCAAAGGGAAGAACATCTGTGAGGGAGGAGAAGAGATGGACAACAAATTTGGGGTGGAGCAGCCCGAAGGCGACGAGGACCTCACCAAGGAAAAGGTGAGAAGCCCCCACTTGGTGGGGAAGGGAAGTTGGTTTAGCCAACCCCTCTCTCCCCCCCTTCCCAAACCATCACTTCTTGGTCTTCACTCAGGAGTTTCCCCATTCAGCTTGGAAACCTTTTGCAGGGTTTTGGGTCCTTGAATGAATGAATGAATGAATTCTTCATTGGCCAAGTATGATTGGACACACGAGGAATTTTTCTTAGGGCATATGCCGTCAGCGTACATAAAAAGAAAAGGTACATTCATCAAGAATTATAAGGTACAACACTTAAATGATAGCCATAAGGTACAATAAGCCATCAATCAGAATACAGTTGGAAGGGACCTTGGCGGTCTTCTAGTCCAACCCACTTCAGTGGTTCCACTGGTGAATTGTCCTCGTTGTTAGGAATGTTCTCCTTAGTTCTAGGTTGCTTCTCTCTCCAATTAGTTTCCACCCATTGCTTCTTGTCCTGCCTTCCGGTGCTTTGAAAAATAAGTGGACAGCCCTCCCCTCTTCTTTGTGGCAGCCCCTCAAATTTCTGAAATAGTGCTATCATGTCACCCCTAATTCTTCTTTTCTTGACTAGCCAGACCCAAAACGTCTGCAGCCGTTCTTCGCACGGCTGAGTCTCCAGGCCTTTAATCCTCTTAGTTGCTCTTCTCTGAACTTTTAGTGCAAAATACTTGGGCCCTTCTTTGTTTGCATCCTTTTGTGGCAGAACATCCTTGACTTAGCAAGGAATTATCTTCCGTTGACGCTGGCTGGCCCTAGAATTCTTCTGATCCTTCTTTCAATCAACTTTTTCCTAATCTAGCCTGAAAATCACTGCCTGGTTATTTATTGATACCCCACTTTTGTTCTTTTAATACAAATGACTCAAGACAGCAAATACATCCAGCGTACTTTCCTCCTCCTATTTTCCTCACAGCAACAGCCCTGTGAGGTGGGCTGGGCTGAGGTAGAAGAACTGATTCCAGGTCACCCAGCTGGCTTTCCTGCCTAAGGTGGGACTAGAACTCCCAACCTCTCCTGGTGATTGGCCCAAAGTCACTCAGCCATCTTTCACCTTTTTTTTTTTTTTTTTTGCTTTGTTTGACCGAACATTAAATTGATTCACTCTGATTTTCAGCTTTGGCATGGTTTATGCGCAGCACTTGCCATTTCTGGAGCCCGTACTGAAGTTTAGTTACTAGACCGGGAACCTTTTCCCTTGATAATAAATACAAAAATATCAATATTTGTCAATCACGTCTCAACCAGAAATTACAGTCTCGGATTCCGTCTGCCTGTTGCCCTGGAAAACAGCTGTTCCCTTTCCCAAGATCTGAATTTCCACCGGGGGAAATTAATGCGCAGACGTTAACACCTGTGATAGTTTTAACCCGCTAATCTTCCAGGGGCAATTTGATCAAAGCGTGCGCGCGTGCCTCACTTGCAATTTCCAATTTGGAAAAAATATGGATGCTCCGTACTTGGTCAATTCAGAAGGAAGAAGAAAACTCCCCATTAACAGCTGCTTTTTAATATTCCCCCATCAATATTCCCTTGCAGGTCACCCAAGGGCAATTCTGCTGATGGTGTGTCTTGAGTTTTCTTCTGAATTAATGTAATTGATGCCCATTTAAGAGGAACAAAGAGGTCCCAGAAAGGCTCTTAGGCTAAAAGAGCTTTTTATAGAATTAATTGGGTCTGAATTCTGCCTCAAGTCTACCCAGCTTGATTGGGATTTCCTGTTAAAACTCAAAAAGAAATGTTGTGGTAACATACAACACACACACACACACACACAATTGGGTAATAATAGGTAAGTGAATTTCAGCTCGTTCACACATTGGTTTGCTAATGTTCTTTTGCCTAACCCTTAAAGACTATTCAGTGAAAATAGAAGAAGAAGAAAAAAACAAAAAAAAACTAGAGAAATATTGTTTTGAGTGAAAATATAAATTTCAGGAGAGCAGATCATGGCTATTGGGATAGATTTCAGTTCTGCACTGAAGGCTCTCCGGCTGCCTTTTGTTTTTTAAGATTTTTATTTTTATTTTGACTGTATTATTTTTATAAACAACTCAAAGCAGTTCGCAGGCCTAATCCTCCTCCCTCCTTTTATTTTCCCCACAACAACATCCCTTTGAGGTGGCTTGGGCTGAAAGAGACGGACTGGCCAAAGTTACACGAATAGTTTTCGTAGCTAAGGTTGAACTGAAGCTCACCATCATTTGCTGATCGGCCCAAAGTCACCAAGCCACACCTTTCATGCCTAAAGCAGAACTAGAACTCACCGTCTCCTAGTGATTGACACAAAGTCACCCAGCCAGCTTTCATGCCTAAGGCCGGACTAGAATTCACCCTCTCCTGTTGATTGGCCCAAAGCTCCCCATACAGCTTTCATGTCTAAGCAGGACTAGAACTCCCATTCTCCTGGTTGTTGGTCACCCAGCCAGCTTTTCTGCCTAAGGTGGGACTAGAACTCGCCATCTCCTAGAGATTGACACAAAGTCGCCCGGCTGGCTTTCACGCCTAAGGCCGGACTAGAACTCGTCGTCTCCTGTTGATTGGCCCAATCAATCGTCGTCGAGAACTCGTCATCTCCCCATGCAGCTTTCGTGGCTAAGTCGGGACTAGAACTCACCATCTCCCAATTTCTAGCCTGGTGCCTTCACCATTGGACCAAACTGGGGAAAATAGGAGGAGGAAGTATTGAGTATTAGGTTCGTCCACCATCTTGAGTTATTGTGTAAACAAAGGTAGGATGAAAAAAAAAACGAGTGTCCCCGAGAGAAGTTCTTTTGCACCAGGGTTTCCTTTCGGGTCCCCCACCCACCCCAGTGACGGCTTCTTCCTTCCCTCAAGGGCCACGGGGGCTGCGGGCGCTACCAGCCGAGGATTCGCCGCTCGGGCCTGGAGCTGTACGCCGAGTGGAAGCACGTGAACGAGGACTCGCAAGAGAAGAAGATCCTGCTCAGCCCTGAACGGGTCCACGAAATCTTCAAGCGGATCTCGGACGAGGAGTGCTTCATCCTGGGCATGGACCCCAAATACGCCCGGCCGGAGTGGATGATATGCACCGTGCTCCCCGTCCCTCCGCTGTCCGTCAGACCGGCCGTCGTCATGCAAGGCTCGGCCAGGAATCAGGTGGCTGCGGGGCAGCTCAAGAGGTGGAGGGGAGGCTTTGATTTGAACCCAGACCCAGTGCCGAATTCGCAGCAGGCCTGGAGGCTGGTTTAGCGTCCCTCCAAGCTCCCGGGGGGGGGGGGGGGG